GGGGTGCCCGGCTACTTCCCCGGGGGCATCCGAGCTCACAGCTGCGCTTCTCTTTCAGCGTGCATCTGCGAGAAGAACAAGCGTGTCACCAACTGCAGGCTGCTCAACGGCGTGTGCTGGTGTGACTCGGTTGGCTCCGGCGTGTCCGTGAACTGCGACACTTGTGAGTACAGCGCGGGTGGCGGCTGTGGCTTGGCCCAGTATGCGCCCTGCTGGGGGGCGGCAGGGGAGAGCGCCAGCTAAACGCGAAGGAGTGTGTGAGAACGACCGGTGGGTTCTCAGCAAATAATGGTAGCAAGGAAGGAAAGCTTCTCTTCCAGGCCAACTGGTGATGGAAGATAAGCACTTAGAATTCCTTCTGCGTGGCTTGCATGGATGTGTGTGTGCTTATACTGATGCAGGCTCCTCCATGCTCCTTAATATTTAGTCTCTAATGGCAAGGATTTCTCAAAGAGTAATTTGTAGCTTCCTTCTAAGCACATATCGTGACTTTTCCTACAAATCTGGGGGTGAAAGAACCTTGTCTTGGGACCTTACTCTTGGTTTGAGCTCAGCTAAACTGTAAATGATTCTCTGGCTGAATGAAATTTCAGGTAGCTGGGCTTCTTATGTGTTCGGCATCGGAAGCTGACGTACCCCCGTTGTGTTGACTTTCTGCACCGCCTACATGTTAAGCACACGCTTTTCCTTGTAATGGCTCTAAATCTAGTTGCTTCTGATGTAACCTTGTGTTTTTATGGACTAAGAGCTCTGTTCTGAATGTGCACAGTCTGATGCTGCATAACGTGACTTTCTGATTATTTTTAGTGACTTCAAAATGCCTGTTGATGAAAGCGGAAATGACACGGCAAAAATCGGGTCGTCGTGAGAAACCAAAAGATGCATTTGAGGATACTGATGGCCTTTATGATCCCGAGTGTGAAAATACTGGTGTTTTCAAGGCAAAGCAGTGCAATGGAACCACTTGTTGGTGTGTGAATACAGCTGGTGTTAGAAGAACTGACAAACATGATGCAGACTTAAAGTGCAATCAATTAGTCAGAACGACGTAAGTCTTTCAGTGGGGAGTGCTGTGACATGTGACATGAAAACATTCCTGCATTAGGTTCTGCGATGTAGAGGATTTAACCGCATGATATTCGTTCACCCCAGTGCATGAAGATGGAGCAATAAACACTTGATTACGGCTTTTTTTTTTTTTTTTTTTTTTCCTTCAGAAACAATGAGACATTGAAGGGTTTTGGAGGGGGCTTTGTTTTTCTCTCACTTTGTTTGGGTTTTTTCCCTGGGGCTAGATTTTTAGTATGTAATGTTATGTTCACATGCTTTAAGAATATTCATTGTTCTTGATTATTACTTCAGGTGGATCATCATTGAAATGAAACATGCTGAGAGAGACACTCCTCTGAACACTGAATCCTTGAAGAAGTAAGTGATGATAGTATAAGATGTCATGGCAATGTCTGCATGCACTACTAGATAACTAGTGTATTTCCAAACAATTGTTTAAGAGTGCTATCAAACCTGTGAACTCATTTGTAAGACATTTTAGAAGTTTAGCTATTTTTTGGCTAAAATAAAACCCTGCTTCTCTCTGTCAGAGTAGATGTAGCAAGGAAAATGTGCTTGTAGCTATTAGATACCCCCACCCCCCTCAGTGGAACAAAAGCTGCTACTCTGTAGCTCCTCTTCTGAACTCTCAAAACTGTTCAAACTCTGTGTTTGTTTTTCAGTAAGTGCATCTTCACTGTTAGGAATTAACAGAGCTCTGGTATAATTTAATAGTGAGAGTGTAGTGGGTTTGGTTGCGATGGAGTTAATTTTCTTGATAGCAGTTGGCATGTTGCTGTGTTTTAGACTGGTGACCAGAACAGTGTTGGTAAGCCACCAGTGTTTTAGCTGTCGCTGAACAGTGCTTACAAAGTGGCGAGGCCTTCTCAGACTCTTGCTCTGCTGCCCCAATGTGTAGGTTGTGGGTGGGTAAGAAATTGGAGAGGGGACACAGTGAAGACAGCTGACCGGATTAATGAGAAGGATATCCCATATTGTGTAACGTCATGCTCAGCAATAAATCTAGAGAGAAGTTTTTTCCTAAGTAGCCATTGCTCTGAGATTGGCTGGGCATTGGTCTGCTAGTGGTGAGTGAGTGCTTTTGCATTGCATGGGGCTTTTTATTCCTGCCCCGCAACGTTTTCATTTATTAGACTGTCTTTATCTTGACCCATGAGGGTTGGTGATGTTTCAAGCTCTGTTTTTGTCTTTTGCTTTGGCTTGGGGGGGGTTTTTTTTTTTTTTTTCCTTGCTTTTGACCTTCTGATTCTCTTCCCAGTTCCTGCTAGGAGAAAGTGAGCGAGAGACTAGGTGAGAGTTTAGCTGCCAGCTAGGGTCAACCTACCACAAAGAGACTGCAGGAAAAAACCTGATTATACTAGTCTTCCCTGCTTCTGAAAACAGATGTGTAAAATAGTACTGGTTTTAACAGCTATGGCTTTAATATCCTTACAGGTTCTTCCAGGAAACCATTACCAATCGTTACATGCTGAATGGACGCTATATAAGTAGTGTTCTGGTAAGAGGCACATAATTTTTAGTAAAGTATCAGAATTTTATTTTGTTGTGAATAACTTTGAAAACTCGTGTTTGGTTGGTGCAGTATATAATGAGTCTTATTAGAAGACTCAAAATAGTGACACTTAATGGAGCAGCTAGCAAGTAGCTGTATCTGAACTGAAATACTGAGAAATTACATATTGCTGTCCTCGGTCTGTAGAGATGAGTTCTTACTTTGCTTCACTAAAAAAGTGGAATTTGAATCGTACTGTAAACAGTTGGCTTGAGAACAGGTACCGTAAACTTGATTCTGGATGTGAGTTCATAAGTTGGATCATAATGTTCTGCTGTGTATTTGATAGTCAAATTTAAACTAGCCCCTTCTTAATACCATACTATATTTTTTGCAGTATGAAAAACCTTTCATTACTATTGATTTGAAGCAAAATTCCTCAGACAAATCTGCTGAAGATGTGGATATAGCTGATGTGGCCTACTACTTTGAAAAAGATGTAAGTGTGTCGTGGGTAAAGTTTGCCAAGGACTAGATGTGTATATTGCATTGCATTCAGTAGTCTTACTGCGTACTGGCTGAAGCGAGATGAATTATTGCAGCACCTAGATAAATGCCTGTTACAATGGGAACTAGCAGCTCTCTTTATTCCTATTGGTTCTTAGGTAAAAGGTGACTCCGTCTTTCATAATAACATACTAAACATCAGTATCGATAATGAAATGCTGCGTTTGGAGAAGACCGTGGTCTACTACGTTGATGAAATAGCACCAGAGTTTTCCATGAAGTCTCTGACTCCTGGCCTCATTGCTGTCATTGTAGTAGTAATAGTAGCGATAGTTGCTGCAATCGTTGTTCTGGTAAGTTCTAACAAAGCTGCCAAGTAGAATGGGTAACCGTGTCATTTGGGAAATAAACAACGTACCAGGGTAATGGGACTCTGATATGACAGTCTTCCTCTGTCAAACTGGCTTCTTTTTTGAGACTTGGGAGGTGGGAAAGAAGCGATGGACATACCATTGCTGTTTCAGGTTATGACTGAAGGGTGTTGGGTGAAAAATGAAAGTATTAGGAAAAACTCATTGAGGTAAAGAAAGTATCTGTGTTGCCTCCCGATTTAAAGTAGTTGTGAGTGACAGACAGCCTCTTGTGTACCTCACTTTGGAAGGGTGGGGAAGGGACAGCTTCAAGTTGGAGTTTTAAAGTTACAGCCAGGTAAAGTTACGTGTTAGTCAAGACTTAAATAAAACTTCACAATTATTTTGTCCTCTTACAGGTGCTCACAAGGAGGAGGAAAGGGAAGTACGTGAAAGCAGAGGTAATTAATTTCTGTGTACGGTGTATGTGTGGGGAGGAGGTTGGCCAGAATCCAGAAACTCCTAAGTCTGCTGTAGGTTAAAAGCTTGCTTTGGGTGCTTCAGATCCGTTCAAGGAGACTGAAAGTATTCAAATGCTGCAACTTGCTTTCATCTCTGTGTAGTTCACCAAGTCCATTCAGCCTTAGTTTCAAAGGCAACTGGTGATCTGCTGCATTTCCCAGGGGTGGGAGGCGGTGCCGACAGCAAGCACCGCTTTTACATATGTATAGCAAGGGCTGTAGGATCCACAGGAAGTACTGATAGTCTTGTTCTTTCCTGAAGACCTTTACTTGAGATATTTGCGTGCAGCTTGCAGTTTCTATTGAAGAGCTACTTTCCAATGGAAAGTAACAAATGGTACTGGCGTCTGGTGCTTCACCCCAAGTGTAGAGCCTTTTGTAAAGGAATCAAAAGGGTGTTGTAGCTGAATGGTAGCCTGCTCCCTGCACACACTCTAAAGAGTGCCGTTTAAAAAAAACCAAAACAAACAAAAAAAAACCCAAAACAAACACAAAACAAAACCCACAAACCAAACGCTTAAGTATTACAATGGTCTTGGCACATTTGATTCTGTTAGTTACATCAAATACCTTTGCTACTGAAAATCTGGGATCTTACACGTTGAGAAGTAGCACAGATGTTGATGTCCCTCTACCTCCTCCCCTCCAGGTAAAGGAAATGAATGAAATGCATAGAGGACTCAACGCGTAACTACATCAGCTGAAGACAGAGTAAGATTCAAAAAGGACAACAGAAACACTGGCATGGAGGCATGGATCTTAACTCTTAAAATAGTCCTCCTGAAGGGGAGGCAATTGTGCTCACTTAATGATTGTTTTAACAGCCAAGACTGGTAAATGTGCTACTACTTTTACTGTTTGTTGAGAGTTAAATCTTAAACGCCCCATCTTACTCAAGTTAAACTTAACTCTTCCTCCCTGATTTTTTTTTTATGATGATAAAGGAAGTTCACAACTGCTGTTACTAGGGTTTTGGAGCATACATGCTTAAATGGCTTATTTTACCCTTGTGTGAGGTTTATTGAAAATAATGATTTTTGTAGCCATGTTGTAACGAGACTGACTCCTGTATAACTGAATGTGACATTTTTATGGCTGTTTGTACATAGTTGAAGTTCTGTAACTTTTTTTATGACTTGAATTAATAAAAGTTGGAAACAGGCTTTTAATTTTTCCATGTTGAAATGATGACGATCTGCTAAGCTACCACACTTAAAAATTCCTTAAAGCAAGCAACCACAGTACAGGTGAAAATATTCTAGAACTCCAATTAACAAAGGTTGTATTGGCTATCTAACATCTCAACACTACATTTTTTTTCTTAAAGCTGTGAGAAGTGTGGTTTGTCCTCTTTTCCACTCTTAATGTGCAACAGGAGCAAAATGATAAAATATGGATTGTTTGTATAAAAAAAATAAACATGCTGTGAATGTAGCAATTTCAGGAATGCATAGACTGCTCTTTCAAACGCTATGTGAGTATTTATAATAAAACAAGCCTCTAATCTAGAACATCTCTGGTGTAGGGTTGGGATTGGGTAGACTTGGCATCTGATGGTAGTGCTGGGGAAGAGCTGTTCCACCATGATTTGCATAGCTATCCACAGCGAAGAATCTGTTTTTGCTGTTATTACTGTTTACTGTCATGGAGGCTGACCGAACTTACACACGCTATCTACCTCCCAGAGCTTTGGATAAAAGAGCTTGCTTTGGCAGTTAGTAATCTATGTAATGGGTACTGGCTAGCAAGTAAACATGTAGAGTCCATCCAGCATATCTGATTTATAAAGGAAATGCTGTAAGTTCTGTTGCCAAAGAAATAATGAGATACAAGATAAGGAACTGAATGACAAATCTTAGTACTACTATGGTGTTTGTTTTCACCCCGCTGCCTAAAACAGGAAAAGTAGGATAAACTGAGAGGATATTCTATGTGCTGTGTGCGTAAGATCGTATGTGAAATGTGCCCCGTTGCAGAGCTTGCATGTATCTGCTAAATACAACAGGGAAGTTGCTGGACTGCATCGAATGTTAACCTCTGATGGCAGAGGGCACCAACATACCTTCCTTCTGCCTTTGAACGAGGTGATAGCTGGCATGCATTACTGTCTTGAAATGTAGGCAGTGACTGTTCCCTGGGGTCTTCCAACATCTGGTGCTGTGAACTTCGGTGTGTGTGCTGAGCTGCTGCAGCCCCCAGGTTTTACTAAATTTCTCTTGAGTCTACAGAATGTTTTGGGAAGTGGAGACACGTGCATTGGTTTGCTCTGTCAAATTGCTGCTCCTGCTAAGCACAAAAATCCTGTAGTAGGGAATTTACCAAATTTTCCGGAGTGCTTTGCAGCCTTTTTGGGCAGTTGTGGCAACTTCTGTAGAGCAGTCTCTCCCTCTGCCAATGTATGCAGGTGGTCTGCTGAGTTTTCATGCAATTCTGTAAGCTGTTAATCAAATGAAGCCTAGTTTTCAGTAAGCTTGCCTTTTGCAAGTGTATTATTGTCTTCCCCAATTCTTCACCCTCCATATCCTGTGCTTTCCTAAAAGTTTGCAATATAGTATCCTTGCCATTCCTTTCTTCTCCCCGAGATCATAATGCTATTGTTTCTTCTCCTCTTTCAACCCTCCCCATCCTCATTTAATACCTCATTTTTGGCTTGTGGGATGGAAAAGAGATGTCAGTATGCTGTGGCTGGGCTGGAGCTACACATGTGCTGACTTGACTGGCTGGTATGTACTTGCTGTGTGGCCTGGACCCTGTCCCAGTTGGTTTGTTTGAAAATGGTTTTCTCCCTACTTTTCTCACAGTAGAGGAAGGCATTTAGCTCCTTTTCAATTCTTTTTT